TCTTCAATCTGATGCTCTTCAAACACATGTTGGTTATGGAATGGAGAAAGTTGCAGTCTGATGCATCTGGAGGGTATCAGATTTGGGAAAGTTCTTCCAGAGAGATATACAATATGAGTCAAGATCCAAAGCCATCTTAGTGAAGTCAGGGAAAAACGTTTCCTAGTTAAATTGTACTGGAGTTCTAGTAGTACAGCAGACTCTATATACAGATTCTTGAGCAACCAATTGTGGAATGACCAGTTACATAAAATTCTGCTCTTGTGCCGAGTCTTTAAATGCATAGTGGCCCTTGCTTGAACACAAGTGATATTGTTGGATACAACACACAGTGCCTTATAAATTAATATGATGAATTCATAAAAGTTTAGCTGTATCTCATCATGTGAAGAAGCCAGTATGGTGTACCAATTTGACTGCTGGACTAGGACTCCACTAAATTAGAATTTGAAACACTGGTCAGCCACGAAAGCCCACATGATCTTGGGCTAGTCACAATTCTCAGTCCAATAAGTTGAAAGTAGGAAGGGTAGCTAATACCCCAGAGTCAGAATTCTAATAGATTGTAGAGACATGTCAAAACTAGCAAATTGAATTTCAACAGAGTGTATGTCTACACTTTGGGTAGAAAAAAAATGAAATGCACAGAGAATGAGTGACACCTGGCTTGAAAACAGTACACGTGAAGGGTATTTAGGGGTCTTAGTAAGCCACAAGCTGAATACGACTCAACAATGTGATATGGCAGCTAAAAAAGCCAATGTGATCTAGATGGCAGCAATAGGGGTGCATCCACAATGTAGAATTAATGCAGTTTGACACGACTGTAATTGCATTTGCTCAATGATATGGAATCATGACAGCTGTAGTTTGGTGAAGCACCAGCAGTCTTTGACAGAGAAGGCTAAAGACTATGAGCAACTACCAACTCATATGATTTCACAATACTGAGCCATGACAGTTAAAGTGGTTTCAAAATACTCCAAAATTGTCTATTATAGGTGGCTGTGATAAGAGATACTTTTGTTTTCTGATGGTCTAAGGTACACATACTTTGTTTCATGCAAACAATTATTAAAATTGTGTATAACACAACAGGATGGGTGATGAACAGTCCATGTGAATTAGTAGACCACAAGTTGAACACGAGCCAACAATGTGATGCAGCAGCTAAAAAGACAATGGGGTCTGGGCTGCATGAAAAGAAGTATAGTGTTTATCAGTAGTTCTCAACCTGTGGGTCCCCAGGTGTTTTGGCCTACAACTGCCAGAAATCCCAGCCAATTTAGCTCTTAGGATTTCTGGAAGTTGAAGGCCAAAACATTTGGGGACCCACAGCTGAGGACTCTAGATTGAGGGAAGTCATGGTGCCTCTCTATTCAGCTTTAGTTAGATCTCACCTGGAATTCTGGTGACCACAGTTTAAAAATGATATTGACAAGGTGGAAGGTGTCCAGAGGAGGGCAACTAAAGTGATCAAAGGTCTAGAGATGATGCTCTATAAGAAGTGTCTTAAAGAGCTGGGGATATTTAGCTTGCAGAAGAGAAGGTTGAAAGGAGACATGATAGTTATGTATAAATATGTGAAATGCTGTCATAAGGAAGAGGGAGCAGGCTTGTTTTCTGCTGCCCTTGAAACTAGGACTGGAAGCAATAGATTCAAATTACAGGAAAGGAGATTCCACCTGAACATTACGAAGAACTTATTGATGGTAGGAGCTCTTCAGCCATGGAACTCTCTGCGTCGGAGTGTGGTAGATGCTCTTTCCTTGGAAGCTTTTAAACAGAGAGTGGATGGCCATCTTTCGGGGATGCTTTGATTGTGCTTTTCTTGCATGGCAGGTGGTTGGACTAGATGGCCCTTATGGACTCTTTCAACTCATTTATTTATTTATTTTGCATATTTGTATCCTGTCCTTCTCACCCCCGGAGGGGGACTCAGGGCAGCTTCACAACAGGCATTCATTCAATGCCAACAAAAGTAATAAATGATGAAAGCAATTAAAACAATTCGTTAATGCTGTCGCATTTGCAAGGATGGTGGGACAGAGAGCAATGCCTCCCTCATCGATCTTAGACTTTGCGATGGATCATAGAAGGAGATATGTTCGGACAGGTAAGCTGGGCCAGAACCGTATTATTATCATATTATTCTAAGATAAAATATTCATGACTCTACAGTATTCAGCCATGACAGTTAAAATAGTGTCAAACTGCATTACTTCTGTAGTGTAGATACACCCATAACCTGGATATTGTGTCTTAGTGTCATGCGTGCACATTTCTTGTTTGAATGGAGTTAAGGCAGATAGGTATGCAGAAAGGTACAGTTATAGGTATGCAGAAAGGTACAGCTATAGAAAGACAAAAAGCACAGCTTTAGTTTTACTAAAGCTGCCGGGGTTTGCATGTCGAAAAGAGAACGGATGGACTTGACCATATATGGGAGACAAAGACAGGCTCAAGATGAGTTTTTTGTGAAAGGGTGAAAAATCGGTCATGAGACTTGCTAACTTTGCAGAAAGGAAGTAGCCAAGGCTAAAATTAAGCTTGCCAGATTAGCAGATGTCCCCAGCTGTATTTTGCATATCAGCATCTTGTGATGTTTCCAAAAAGAGCTTGCTTATTGAGAAACGAAACCTAAAAAGTGTATGATCTAATTGCTTAACGTATGTATAATATTGACAGCTCTTTTAACCAATGATTTAATCTTTGGGGCGGCCCTTAAGGCCGAACCCCTTTTGATGTATAAAATAACTCGAACCCATTGTGCTGGGTGGCTTTCCCCAGAGACGCCTTGTTGCGTCGAAAGCCAACTAGCAGCTGCTATAATAAACTTTGATATTCTTGCTGAACTCAGTTGGCTGTTTTTCCTGACTCATCTGCGCCTGCAATACGGACTCGGTTTGGACATTTTGGCAAAGCCCTTGAGCAATTGCTCAGGGGAAGGGAAAAGCCTGCTTCATTTTGACCAGGAATATATGGGCTATTCTTATAATCCTTGACATATCCTCATAACCTTACAATAGACATATCTGCTACTTATTCCAAAGCCTGCCCTCTTTTTTACCTTCTGAGGTCCTCCCTGCTTTAACTTTCCTTCTGTTTAGCCTAAAGACAGGAGATTCACAGCCCTTTTCCCTTCCTTGTTTAACTACTTATCCTCCTGCTTTGTTGTTGTTCATTCGTTCAGTCGCATCCGACTCTTCGTGACCTCATGGACCAGCCCACGCCAGAGCTCTCTGTCATCACCCCCACATCATCACCCCCAGCTCCTTCAAGGTCAAGCCAGTCATTTCGAGGATCCCATCCATCCATCTTGCCCTTAGTCGGCCCCTCTTCCTTTTTTCCTTCCATTTTCCCCAGCATAATTGTCTTCTCTAAGCTTTCCTGTCTTCTCATGATGTGGCCGAAGTACTTCATCTTGGCCTCTACTATCCTTCCCTCCAATGAGCAGTCGGGCTTTATTTCCTAAAGTATGGACTGGTTGGATCTTCTCACAGTCCAAGGCACTCTTAGAACTTTCCTCCAACACCACAGCTCAAAAGCATCTATCTTCCTTTGCTCAGCCTTCCTTATGGTCCAGCTCTCACATCCGTAGGTTACTACCGGGAATACCATTGCTTTAACTATGCCAGTGTGATGTCTCTACATTTCACTATTTTATCGAGATTGGTCATTGCTCTCCTCCCAAGAAGTAAGCGTCTTCTAATTTCCTGGCCACAGTCTGCATCTGCAGTAATCTTTGCACCTAGAAAAACAAAATCTGTCACTGCCTCCATGTTTTCTCCCTCTATTTGCCAGTTATCAATCAGTCTTGTTGCCATAATCTTGGGGTTTTTTAATGTTTAACTGCAACCCAGCTTTTGCACTTTCTGCTTTCACCTTGATTAGAAGGCTCATCAGTTCCTCCTCGGTTTGGCCATCAAAGTGGTATCATCTGCATATCTAAGGTTATTAATGTTTCTTCCAGCAATTTTAACCCCGGCCTTGCATTCATCAAGTCCCACACATCGCATGATAAGGTGGGTATGAAACATATATATATATATATATATATATAGAGAGAGAGAGAGAGAGAGAGAGAGACTGTGTTCTTGTGGGTTTTTTCGGACTATAGGGCCATGTTCTAGAGGCATTTCTCCTGACGTTTCGCCTGCTTCTATGGCAAGCATCCTCAGAGGCAGTGAGGTCTGTTGGAATTAGGACAATGGGTTTATATATCTGTGGAATGGCTGGGGTGGGGCAAAGAGCTCTTCTCTGCTGGAGCTAGGTGTGGATGTTTCAACTGACCACCTTCATTAGCATTTGAAGGCCTGGCTGAGCCTGGGAAAATCTTTTGTTGAGAGGTGTTAAGATGTGCCTGGTTGTTGTTTATATAGACTGTGTTTAGGCTTTTAGCTCCATCTCCAAAATATGAATGTATATTTAGAACTCGCTCTACATCAGGCATGGATAAACTTTGGCCTTCCCTCCAGGTGTTTTGGACTTCAACTCCCACAATTCCTAACAGATTACCGGCTGTTAGGAATTGTGGGAGTTGAAATCCAAAACACCTGGAGGGAAGGCCAAAGTTTGCCTATGTCTGCGCTACATTCTCTATTATACACCTAACCGGCCTTCAAATGGGAACCCGAATCGATACCTATGTTCCCATCTTCTTGTTTCTACCTCTATGGTCCTACTATCCTCCACAAAGGCGTCTCTTCTAGCGGCAAGGGAAGCTACAACCCTACACTTCCGGTACTATGTTGAACATCATTCCAATTTTAGCCATAGGCTGGAAAGAGGAGAATGTTGGGACTTCAGCCCTCCTCTCAGGTGTTTTGGACTTCAATTCCCACAGCAAGTTCCGCTGCAAAGGGAGGGAGGGCCGAAGTTTGCGCATGCCTGGTGTTGAGGAACCCTCTCCCACTCTTCCACGCATATGGCTGCCTCAGGAGTCTCACGCTTTGGTCTGGCTCAATCTCTTTGACCATGAGTACGCTGTGAGGTCATGTGACAGCGCGCGCTAGCGGGGAAAGATCCGCGTGCGGCTCCGCGCGGGGCATGACGGGACGAAGAGGAAGGAGAGCGCCGGGATGTATCAGAGCAGCACGCAGAGGCGGCGCTGGACCTTCCGCTCCGAGGAGGAGCTCACCCGGCGCCGGGCCGATGCCAACCGCAAGTTCCGCTGCAAAGCGGTGTCCAATGGGAAGGTGAGGGTAGAGAGCGAGGCGGGGGAGAGGGGTGGTGGATGGCTTGCGTCCACACTGCAGAATGAATGCGGTTTGACACCACTTTGAACTGCCCTGGCTCCATGCTGTGGAATTACTAGACTTGCAGTTAGTTTGCAAGGCCTTGGGCCTTCTCTGCCTCACCAAACTACAATTCCCAGAATCCCATAGCATGGAGCCAGGGCAGTTCAAAGTGATGTCAATAATAATAATAATAATAATAATAATAATAATGTATTGTCGAAGGCTTTCATAATAATAATAATAATAATAATAATAAGCGGTTGCTCCTGACACGACAATAATAATAATAATAATAATAATGTATTGTCGAAGGCTTTCATAATAATAATAATAATAATAATAATAAGCGGTTGCTCCTGACACGACAATAATAATAATAATAATAATAATAATAATGTATTGTCGAAGGCTTTCATAATAATAATAATAATAATAATAATAAGCGGTTGCTCCTGACACGACAATAATAATAATAATAATAATAATAATAATAATGTATTGTCGAAGGCTTTCATAATAATAATAATAATAATAATAATAATAATAAGCGGTTGCTCCTGACACGACAATAATAATAATAATAATAATAATAATGTATTGTCGAAGGCTTTCATAATAATAATAATAATAATAATAATAAGCGGTTGCTCCTGACACGACAATAATAATAATAATAATAATATATTGTCGAAGGCTTTCATAATAATAATAATAATAATAATAATAATAATAATAATAAGCGGTTGCTCCTGACACGACAATAATAATAATAATAATAATAATGCATTGTCGAAGGCTTTCATAATAATAATAATAATAAGTGGTTGCTCCTGACACGACAATAATAATAATAATAATGTATTGTCAAAGGCTTTCATAATAATAATAATAATAATAATAATAATAATAATAATAAGCGGTTGCTCCTGACACGACAATAATAATAATAATAATAATGTATTGTCGAAGGCTTTCATAATAATAATAATAATAATAATAATAATAATAATAAGCGGTTGCTCCTGACATGATAATAATAATAATAATAATAATGTATTGTCGAAGGCTTTCATAATAATAATAATAATAATAATAATAAGCGGTTGCTCCTGACACGACAATAATAATAATAATAATAATAATAATAATAATGTATTGTCGAAGGCTTTCATAATAATAATAATAATAATAATAATAAGCGGTGGCTCATGACACGACAATAATAATAATAATAATAATAATGTATTGTCGAAGGCTTTCATAATAATAATAATAATAATAATAATAATAAGCGGTTGCTCCTGACACGACAATAATAATAATAATAATAATAATAATGGGGTGCAGCCTAGACAAATGTGCCACAGTCGCAGTAAAGAAAGGGGAAATTACAGCAATGGCATTTTATTTATTTATTTATTATTCGAACTTATATGCCGCCACTCCCCTGGGGCTCAGAGCGGCTTACAAGAACAGGCTAAAATCTAACACACTTTAAAAACAATTTAAAAACAGCAATATCAGAGATCAAAAGCCCGTCGAAACAGATGTGTCTTACATGCCCTGTAGAAAGCTGATAAGTCCCGCAAGGCACAGACTTCAAGTTGCAGAGTATTCCAGAGTGATGGTGCCACTGCTGTAAAGGCTCTGCGTCTTGTTGCTGTTAGACGCAAGGTCTTGACACTGGGAATTTCCAATAGATCTTGGTCCTCAGAACGGAGGGATCTCTGGGGTTGGTAGAGGGTGAGGCGGTCCCTCAGGTACATGCATTGAGATGCCAAACGGACAAACCATAAAGTGCAATCAGCCTGAAGCCTATCAATATTTGGCCGTACTACAGTTTATTTCCTATATTTATTTCCTATATTTATACCCTGCTCTTCTCCCCCCCGAAAGGGGACTCAGGGCGGCCTAACAAAAGCATCATACGATGCTAGCATCATAAAAACAACCACAGTACAATCAGTTGGACAGTACAATCAGTTAGAAAATGTTGACCATTTCCGCTACCTTGGCAGCCACCTCTCCATCAAAGTCAACATTGACACCGAAATCCAACTCCGCCTGAGCTCTGCAAGTGCAGCATTTTTCCAAATGAAAAATTTGGAAATCCCGTAGGGATACCAAGGTGCTTGTCTATTGTCCTCCCAACCCTGCTATATGCCTGCAAAACGTGAACTGTCTACAGACGTCACATGCAACTCCTGGAACGATTCCATCAGCGCTGCCTCTGGAAAATCCTGCAAATCTCTTGGGAAGACAGGCAGGCAGATATCAGCGTGCTGGAAGAAGCAAAGACCACCAGCATCGAAGCGATGGTCCTCCGCCATCAACTCCGCTGGACTGACCATGTTGTCCGGATGCCTGACCACCATCTCTCAAAGCAGTTGCTCTACTCCGAACTCAAGAACGGAAAACGGAATGTTGGTGGGCAGGAAAAGAGATTTAAAGATGGGCTCAAAGCCAACCTTAAAAACTCTGGCATAGACACTGAGAACTGGGAAGCCCTGGCCCTTGAACGCTCCAGCTGGAGGTCAGCTGTGACCAGCAGTGCTGCAGAATTTGAAGAGGCACGAATGGAGGGTGAAAGAGAGAAACGTGCCAAGAGGAAGGCGTGTCAAACCAACCCCAACCGAGACTGCCTCCCACCTGGAAACCGATGCCCCCACTGTGGGAAAAGATGCAGAGCAAGAATAGGGCTCCACAGCCACCTACAAACCCACCCCCAGGACACCAAACTTGGAGGACCATCATCCTCGGACTACGAGGGATTGCGTAAGTAAGTAAGTATCAAGCATTGGCATGTGAAAAATGTGGTCAGCAAAGAATATATCCAAAGAGTCAGAAAGGTTTTGAAGAGGTTTTAAATGGCGGAAGAAACAATCAAGGCTATCAACACCTGGGCTCACAAAGTTCCATTTGTGAGCCACATCCATGTTTTTTCTTTGTCAATTAGGCTTTCAGTTTTCCCCAGGAACTGTCCATGGAGAGCCTTCTTTCGCCAGTTTTACAGTATAAACTAAACCGTTTCAACCATCCACATAAACCTAGCTGGGTATAAGCCCTCAGAACGGCTTCATCTGCATAACATAAAATTAATTTTTTTCTGGTTTTCCACTTCAACTGGTAATTAACAGTTTTGTTAAACTTCTTCTACATCATTAATGAATAAGTTTAACAAAAATAGAACAGGTAAGCTCCCTTGTTTTGACTGGTACATAGTCTGATAGATATCTACCATTGATTCGAACTCGGAGGAATGTGCTATTTCAGAAATTGTGTATCATTGTCAATAGATTCACATGACAGGATATATCTTGTCTTTTACAAGGTTCAACAAACAGACTCATTTCTTCTTGAGCCTCACGAGGAATTGGCAATTTGCAAATACTATGAAAAAAGGTTATTGGATTTCTGCTCCGTATTCAAGCCAGTCATGCCAAAATCTGTGGTGGTAAGTTTCTTTTATTGAACCCTCTTTGCATCGCATTAAAAGAAGTAGTATTTCATTATGGAACAGATATTCTTTTGGTCCTGAGTAAAATACAAGGAGCGTACAACCCCCTTGTTATGCCAGCTCCACTGGCTGCCAATTAGCTTCTGAGCACAATTCAAAGTGCAGGTCTTGACCTATAAAACCCTAAACGGTTCCGGCCCAGCTTACCTGACCGAACGTATCTCCTTCCATGAACCCCCAAGGACCTTAAAACCATCTGGAAAGGCCCTGCTCTTGGTCCCACCGCCATTGCATTCGCACTTGGTGGGAATGAGATCAGATCTGTCCCTTCCCTCATGACTAGAAGAAGCTCAAACCCTGATTATGGGATCAAGCGTTCGCAGAATAGATTTTTTTAATGGACTTTTTAGCTGATGGCAATGGATTGATTTGGAAGATGATGTGAAACGGCGAACTGTTTTAATGTATCTATACTTGTTTTTAATGTAGGTTAATTGTATATTATGCTTGTTTTATTGTTTGGCACTGAATGGTGCCTGTTGGTAGCCATCCTTCAGAGGCAAGGACAGGATAGAAATGCTCCTAATAAATAAATAAATATGTTTTCTCCATTCTCTTTCTAAACATATTCCATCCAATTGAGATGTAAACATGTTTCGTTGATCATACATAGAATAAGCATCTTTCATGGCTGTTTCCTGACTTCATCCACTTAGAATTAAGGGACAAGGATGTCTATTCTGTGGCAGGTGGCTGGTTGAGTTACAGATGCTTTGCCTTCTGAGTATTTCCTTTACCATTCTTCTGTACAACAAAATGTCAGGCAGAGTAAGAACATTTCATTCATGTGGCTGAGTTCTGTGGAGGAGGATTTATCTTTGAGTCTAAATGTCCTAAAGACCCCACATTCTTTCTCAATTTTGAAGCTAAGCAATATCAGCTCTGATTAGTGTTTGGACAGGAGACCACCAATGAATGCTAGATGCTGTAAGGTGTATTTCAGAGGAAGTAAGTGGCAAAACCATTTCCTAGTAATTATTCTCTAAGAAAACATGATTAAATTCATAGGTTTGCCATAACTCAACAGGTGACTTGAAGATGCATACAAACATACATTCAATTGGGATAACTGGGTGAAGGAATAATTCCCTGCATACCCAGCCAATGTGGCTACTCCTCAAAGATGCCATTGGCATCTTTGAGGAGTAGCACAACAGCTGTTTATGTTATGAAGCATAAACAGCTGTTTCAAACCAGCAGTGGCCTAACCTATGCCTGCCTTAAAGACGTTTAGCTCTTTCAAGATCCGTACCAATAGGAACAAGGAAGGAGGCGCTAAAACTGCAATGCATGAATTAGTTCAGTTCTTGTGGGTTTTTTCGGGCTATATGGCCATGTTCTAGAGGCATTTCTCCTGACGTTTCGCCTGCATCTATGGCAAGCTTCCTCAGAGGTGAGGTCTGCTGGAGCTGGGAAAAAGGGGGTATATATATCTGTGGAAAGACCAGAGTGAGACAAAAGTCTTTTGTAAGTTGGGCTAGGTGTGAATCTTTTCAACTGACCACCTTGATTAGCATACAATGGGCTGACTGTGCCTGGAGCAAACTCTTCTTGAAAGGTGATTAGATGTCCCTGCCTGTTTTTCTCTCTGCTGTTTTAATTTTAGAATTTTTTAATACTGGTAGCCAGATTTTGTTCATTTTCATGGTTTCTTCCTTTCTGTTGAAATTGTCCACGTTTGTGGATTTCAATGGCTTCTCTGTGTAGTCTGACATGGTGGTTGTGAGAGTGGTCCAGCATTTTTGTGTTCTCAAATAAAATGCTGTGTCCAGGTTGGTTCATCAGGTGCTCTGCTATGGCTGATTTCTCTGGTTGGAGTAGTCTGCAGTGCCTTTCATGTTCCTGGATTCTTGTTTGGGCGCTGCGTTTGGTGGTCCCTATGTAGACTTGTCCACAGCTGCATGGTATACGGTAGACTCCTGCAGAGGTGAGAGGATCCCTCTTGTCCTTTGCTGAACGTAGCATTTGTTGGATTTTCTTGGTGGGTTTGTAGATTGTTTGTATGTTGTGTTAGTTCTTTAACTATTGAATTCATGAATTAGTTCTTTAACTATTGAATTCTGCTGTCTTCCATTCCAAGTTTCAGCAGTAATTTTGGAGTGGTATTGAAAGTAATATTTTTAAAACTGCTAGATGAAAGGGAGAGGAGGTTGTATCAAATATTCAAGCCTCTTTGTTTGCAGCGTTTTGTTCGCTACCATGTTTTTTGTCCTAGAAGCCTAGAGAGAGTGTGTTGGAGATGATAGCAAAATTAGAGAAATTGACTTGTCATCCAGTTGATCTTTCTCAAAGGTGACTACATATCAGCTCTGCCAGGTGTAAGCAAGAAGATTACCAATGCTGGAGAAAGATAATTGTGAAATATCCAATATTTTTTGAGTCTCTCTCTCCCCCCCCCCCCCCCCCCCCCCCCCCGAGTATGCTTTTAAATCAGACAAGGTAACAATAAATCATTCCATCTGAACATGAGGAAGAACTTCCTGACTGTGAGAGCCGTTCAGCAGTGGAACTCTCTGCCCCGGAGTGTGGTGGAGGCTCCTTCTTTGGAAGCTTTTAAACAGAGGCTGGATGGCCATCTGTCAGGGGTGATTTGAATGCAATATTCCTGCTTCTTGGCAGGGGGTTGGACTGGATGGCCCATGAGGTCTCTTCCAACTCTTTGATTCTATGATTCTAAGGGTCAGAATACTAACACAAATATTTGCTTACATGGGACATTGTGAGACTGTTTCTCTTAAGGTAGATGAACAGTTCAGGTTAGTTAATTATCCAGATATTTCCTTTCTCTAAGGTCCCATCTACACTGACCATTTGATGCAGTTTCAAACTGGTCTTGAAGAAAATGATTTTTCTGTGCAGATGATATAGTAATTAACCAGTTTGAGGCTTGGATAGTGATACAAACCACCGAGCACTGGTGCACAGTAAGGAATTTCTTTTTGCATGTTTTGTGGCTGTTTATTTTCGAGCTGCCATAGTTTGAAGCTAGCTTCAAACTGCATTAAATGGTCAGTGTAGATGGGGCCTAAGAAGTGCTTGTGCTTTTCCCTCTTCTCTTGCAGTGATTTCCCTTTTGGCTCTGTTAAACTCTCACTTGCTTCTGAATAAGCATGCATAAGATTGACCTGTGCATTTTTGTTCCATTGCATTCATGTGGACATATCCTGCATTTCCTTTATACATTCTATATAAGTGCTATTCTCTGCTATCTTGTGAATAATGAATTCTTTGGCTTCATTTTTATTTCAGGGATCAGCCTGCATGTACTTCAAACGTTTTTACCTCAATAACTCAGTGATGGAGTATCACCCGCGTATAATTATGTGAGTAAATGATACACTTTGTGTGTTAGTTTAAACTTTTATTAGTAGCCTGTCAGATGTAAGCGCTAATGATACTGGAGATTCAGAATTGATCTTTATATGAGAGGATAACAGATTTTCAGACATGTTCTTATAAGATCATGCAGTCTTCCAGGTGATGTTCGATTTCAACTCCCAACAACCATGGCCAGAAAGGCCAGTGCTGAGCATTGCTGGAAATTACAGTCCAATAGCATCTGGAGAACTGCATGATTTCTATTCCTAGGTTAGGATTTTCAAGTCAGAATGTTTCATATACAATGTGTGATTACATTTCTTGTAATGAGATGTGTTTGCTGTTTGTTTTAAAGGTTGACATGTGCATTCTTGGCATGTAAAGTAGATGAATTCAATGTGTCTAGTGCACAGTTTGTTAATAACCTTCGTGAAAGCCCCGTGGGACAGGAAAAGGCTCTTGAACAGATCCTAGAATATGAATTGCTACTTATTCAGGAACTCAACTTCCATCTCATAGTGCACAACCCTTACAGACCATTTGAAGGCTTCTTGATTGATCTGAAGGTAACAATTTTTGATTACTGAAGAAATTCATCTTAAATTACAAAAGCTGTTGTACAATATTAAACCTTGAACAGTATAAAGAACACTGGCAATATATTGCTTTCAGTAGTGAAGACAAAATGTCCCAACTGCTTTTGTCTGGGAAAAATTGGTAAGAACATTATACCTATTCTGCAAGTGATTTTTTTGCCATTGGGACAGGTAGTTAGGATTTAGTAGTTCCAACACAGCTCTTCTTATGATACCTACTTATCAACTTGACAATTAAAATACAATGTTCAGCCAAATTTTCTGAGTAAAATTATTTTTGTATGCTTTGATACTTAAGCTTTTGCTGTTTGTCCATTCATTGAGGCCACATTTAGTACCTAAAATTTTTCTTGCTTTGGGTGTCGTTCAAAAATGGTTCCCCCCGGTTACCTTTTCAATATATAGAAAAAAATTATACAGTATTTAATATGCAGCAGATACCAGACATACATTTCAGTGACAAAATGACAGCTGATGAATTAGCGTGTCGACAGCTTAGCACAGAATTGGCTTTATTCCCTTCTTGGCGGACAGGAGGCTTGCTTAGCTGTTTTGATCATCCTGGGCAATTAGTCATTCATGCAGACAAGCTTACTTCATGAACGTGTTTTTTCTAGCAACATCTCGAAGAATGAAGCATGGGATATGTGTGGCATTGGGAGGATATAAAAAAGATACTGTATTTCTTACATCCAATACTGTCTGTATCCCAAAGCTGGAGAGGGCAACTATAGAGGTCATTTTTCACCCTAGCATCCCACCCTAATGGGTCACATTGGAATGCATCATGAAATTGTTTCACTTTTGATCAATTTTCAATTAATTTTTTTTATGGGGGAAGGATTAAGATTTTGTAAGTATGCCGGGGAGCTGTGGGGGCAAAGCTACCACGTTTGGGGTGTGTGTGTGTCTGTTTGAGACAAAAAATCATCCACAATTAAATTTTTGTGGGGAATTTCAGGGCCTTGGGTTAGGACTCAAAATCAGGACCTTAGGGTCATATGTAGCCCAAAGTGTTCATTCAGTGCTAATTTTTGTGGCAAAAACAATGCAGATACGAAGGATTGGCAAAAGGCTGCATGTCTGTTTTGCCATGACCAACTTCTTTGTAAAAGATCTGCAGTTTTTTGTGAGAATGTAGAAGACTGTGTGTAGTTTGACCCTGAATTTAGGATAAATTTTACAATTGTGATGGCTTCTTAAAGGTTTTGGTGCTATGGGTACCTTGTGAGACTGTGAGTTAGAGGACTTAGGAGGGAAATCTCCTTTTTAATATTCCCTTTGATCCTTCTTCCTGAAACATTTTGGCCTGCATTTTTTTAGAAAAATAATATTCACTTGAAATTTGTCTTGTATATGAAAATGAAGTGATGTGAATGTGTGCTAGGCAAAACTATGATTAGTTGGACCTGTAATTGGTTAAGCAAGTGAACCCAGAGGGTGCTCACCAATGCTTTCTCTTCATCCTGGAAGAAAGTGATGAGTGGAGCACCGCAAGGTTCTGTCCTGGGCCTGGTTCTGTTCAACATCTTTATTAGTAACTTAGATGAAGGGTTAGAAGAAGGGATCATCAAGTTTGCAGACGACGCCAAATTGGGTATAGCAAATGCTCCAGAAGACAGGAGCAGAATTCAAAATGATCTCAACAGATTAGAGAGATGGGCCAAAACTAACAAAATGAAGTTCAACAGAGACAAATGCAAGATACTCCACTTGGGCAGGAAAAAAATGAAATGCAAAGATAAAGAATTGGGAATGTCTGGTTCAATAGCAGTAAGTGTGAAAAAGATCTTGAGAGTTCTCGTGAACAAGTTAAACATGACCCAACAATGTCATGTGGCAGCTAAAAAGGCCAATGGGCTTTTGGCCTGCATAAATAGGAGTATGGTGTCTAGATTCAGGGAAGTCATGCTACCCCTCTATTCTGCCTTAGTCAGACCAAGCTGGAGAACAAACCCTGTGAGGAGTGACTTAAAGAACTAGGCATGTTAACCAGAAGAAAAGGCTGAGAGGAGACATGACAGCCATGTATAAATACGTGATGGGAAGTCATAGGAAGGAGGGAGCAGGCTTGTTTTGTGCTGCCCTGGAGACTAGGACATGGAACAATGGCTTCAAACTACATGAAAGAAGTTTCATGAGAGCTGTTCAGCAGTGAAACTTTCCGGGGAGTGTGGTGGAGGCTCCTTCTTTGGAGGCTTTTAAACAGAGGCTGGATGGCTACCTGTCGGGAGTGGGTTGAATGCAATTTTCCTGCTTTTTGGATGTCCCACAAGGTCTCCTTCTATTCTTATGATTCTATGATGCTAATGGAGTAACATGTGGATGCCTATTTTTCTAGACACGTTATTCGTCGCTTGAGAATCCTGAGACATTGAGGAAGACGGCAGATGACTTTCTTAATCGAGCAGCTTTGACAGATGCTTGCCTTCTATATACACCCTCTCAGATAGCTCTTACTGCCCTCTTGTCCAGTGCTTCTAGGGCAGGAATTAATATGGAAAGGTAGATAATATTCTGAACTTTTAAGATACAACAATGAAATGAATTAGTCATTTTGTACATTTATGTAAGTCTTTGACTGTATTTTTTATTATTCAGAAATAGGCCACATAGATTGATACCTGAATGAACTTCCTGAAAAGCTGTTTATTTTGGAGGATAACATTGTGGCTTCTCCTCATGATGGCTATGTATCTTCGTTATAAGAGAGTAGACCTGGATAGTAGCTGTAGGATAACCTGAAGGGGAGGATAATATTTGCTCTCCTGACTGATTTTTGAACTTTCCACTCAGATCCAATTGGTGTCTATAGGAACAGGATGTGGGCCTGTGTCTTGCTTTGATCCAGTACTGTTTTTAAATCATATATGGCACAACTACCTGGAAAAGAATAATTGCATTGACAACACTATGTAACAAAATTTGAAAAAAATTCTGTTCCTGGTTTGAAAGTGTTATTTCCTGTTTAATTGTGTGATACTTACTTTGAAGGTAGTTATTACACTCCAGAAATTTCATTTTTGTGTCTGAGGATAATACTATTATTTCCTTCAGTAATTTTCCTTAATGAAAATATGCCATTTCAACCTTTCAATGTGCAGACCATAAAAAAGTTATTGCAGTTTAATAAACTTTTTCCATGTTTTTATGATAGAACCAATTAAGAAATGACATTTATAACCCAAGGAAAAAATTGTGTTACATGGTGTAATCAAAATTGTGGAAATTTTGAAAGTACACTCTTGGGTTTTGTTCTGCCATACTTCAGATATAGTTAGTAAAATGATTATTTCTGCATCTCCGATTTTTTCATTTTATACTTTCAGAATATTTCTATTATTATTAATTAATTATTTTTTATCCTGCTTTTCTCCCATGGGTGGGAATCAAAGTGGCGAACAAATGGTAAAAAAATAAAAACTACATGATCCAAGAACACAACATCATCCCCCAGCCCAAGCATATAAATAATAAACCAACACATTGCATAAGCACAATTACATAAACCATATAAAATAATCATAAAAATAACAACATTTGTCATTTATCAGCATTTCTACGTTACTACTTCTTGTGAAGATTGCTATTATGTTGCTTTGGGGATACTATAGTTGATTGCTTGAAGGTGTTGTTCTTTTGGAAATGTAAAATATTACTGCAGAGTTCAAACTAGCTTTAGTTTAATTGTAACATGTTTCTTTGCTACTTCTTAGAAAGGGACAGGTAATGAGAGTTTAAATATTATTCAGAAACTCTGTTCTACCGCCTAACATGAAACACTAGCTTAAATGTAATTGTCTTTACAGGGTGTATGTTAATTTAAATGTACTTCATAGCTTTTGTTTGCTTCTCTGTGCATCCAAACAGTGGTGTTGGGATCTAATTTTCACAATCTTTTGACAGTTACTTGTCAGACAGCCTAATGCTGAAAGAGAACAAAGCTTCCTTCACCCAATTGCTGGATGGAATGAAATGTAAGTAAAGATGTTAAGAATGAGGCAATATGTATAGATTTATGCTATGCATTTTTGAAGGAAAGAGGCTTTGCAAAAGACTTGATAGCCATTTGAAAGATAATCGAGGCTTTTGTCTGTTTGTTTGTTTGTGGATGATCACTAGAACATATGTTGCAACTAACTTGTACCCAGCTGATGATAAAAGGATTCTTAGTGGGTGTCATTTGTGTCTCCTACACCCCTGTGTCAGGGGCATGAAGTGACAAGAGAAAAAAAGACATCTAAGTGCAATTATATTCACTTCATAGTAAAGTGGCTTTAAGCCTGATAAATATCAATTGCTATACTCCTAAGACATTTTATTGTGTAAGCATGTTTACAGTTAGTGGAAACTACAGAAATGATTGGGAGAAAGTAGCAAGTTTATCTCTTTCAACTAAATAACATCCGCTTAATAACCCTTAGATAATTCCATTCAGTGACAGCCACCAGCAGATGCAGAAATGGTAGAGTAGTGTTGCCTTCCCGATCTTTTGGGGTTGCATCTTAGTCATAGTCCAAAAGAATAAGAAGGCTTGAAGTCTGAAGTTGTTTTATCAGACAAAACTGAAACAAGAAACATTACTGCAAAAGCTAATGGGTTAGTGTTATCTTTTTAGAAATCTTATTTCTGAGACTAGGGCTAGCCTTGAACAGTTCTCGTGAAAAAGAAGGTTAGAAGCAAAATGTCAGGTGTGCAGTGATCTCTTTTTTTGGGAAGAGAGTTAAGATGTTTTTATTCTGGCACGTATTTGTGACAACCAAGCATTTTAAAACTTCAGGCAACAAAACAATTCTGTTTCATGCTGTTAAATTATTTTGCTGTTGTCTTGCATTTTAGTCTTTTCCCCCCTGTTGTGCCTTTATTGTGTTGCAAAAGTGCCATAAACTACCCCGAGGATTTAATTGAAGCTTGTTGGTTAAATCTTTGAAAAATAAAGTATTAAGAGAATATTGGAACAAGCCCTAAAATAAGTTACTGTGGATCTTTAATTTCATTTGCCAGATCACCCCTATTTCAAGTTATTGTAGATGTTGATTCTCATTTTTCACATTGCCCTGAGCAGTATTGCTAGCGTTTTTATTCTGGGTCTTTTTCACAAAAGGCTCTTTATCTAGTGAAGACTTCCATTGTCAGAATGGGAAGGCTATTTCTACTGTACTGCTGTACCACGTGTGTCAAACGCAAGGACTGTGGGCCAAATCTGGCCCTCCATGTCATTTTATATGGCCTTCCAGATGCTGGACTACAACTCTTAAATTCCTCATCATTAGACATCATGACTAGAGTTGATGGGAGTGTGATACAGTAACATCTGGAAGGCTGCAGTTTATTTTGTTTAGTCAGGATAGTAGGGTTTGAATTTTGATACAAGGCTTGTGGATATGATGCCTGACTTCAAAATGTCCTTTAACCTCTCCTCAAACCTCAGAGCAGTCAGTGCTGTTGGATTGTAATTCCCATTATCCCCCAGTCAGCATGGCAAATAATCAAAAGTGGGAGCTGACAATTGATAACACCTGAGGATCCAAATTAGGTAAAAACTAAAGAGACCGATTACTCTGTGTGTGTGTGTGTGTGTGTGTCTTTCACACACAGATACACACACACATACATGGCCCTCTGTATCCACAAATTCTCTGATAATGGATTCAAAGGCTAAGGCGACTATTAGGCTACTGGCTGATCCATTTTAGCAGTTTTCCTTCGACCAATCTGGCTTCTTCAGCTTGGTTAGATGGCTGTAACAGCAAGGGCCCGGCTGTCACGGTTTCCCGTCTGTATTGGGACCACATGGCAGCTGATCACAGCTCCTTCCATTTTCAGGAGCACGCCATGTGCAGAGAGGTTGCCGCAAGCTCCTTCTTGCATAAGGTTTCCTTGTGAGCCCTCTTGTTATAATAAATAAACCTTATTTATATACCTTCCTATCTCTCCTAGAGGACTCAGAACGTTTCCACATATGCAAAATAATACAAAAACATACAATATAAAACAAAAAACATAGGCATAAACTGTTAATACAACATACACATTAAAGCCAGTTGGAATAGAAGAACGCCGTGACATGTCTTACGCAAGCTGTGTCTGCTTCCTTATCCTTGTTTCTAAAACCCAGACTCCCTTGAATAAAGGAAAAGATCCCAGGAACGGAAAGGAGAGCCTCATAAGTTCCCCATTACTGCCGATGAGCCAGATATAGCCATATTTTTTGGCTTAGGACAAAAACTGGTTATCCAGCTACCCGCCCGTTTTTGGGAGATGGGTGAAAATGGATACAGGGGTTTACTGGAATCTGGCCAGCAGAAATGGATAGAGGTTCAGCCGAAATGCACAAGCCTAGGGACTATAAGGCTGATGTGATGCTTCATAAAAATGGGTTTAGCACCCCTGTGCTGTACATCCCAGTCTCTGTCTGTATATTTCCACAGTGTGCCAGGGACTGGTACCATATTTGTGCTCAATGGCCTAAAACATCTGCTTCCCAAAAAACCTGCCAAGAACCAACATCCAGTGGCACTGGCTGTGGGGCCACCACTTTGAATAGCACAGTTTTTGATTAAGTGATGCCTCAATTTGTGAAGCAAGATAAATTTTTAAATAAGGACACTAAAATAAAACTTGGAGGCTCTCTAGAGCACCATAGGGAGACAAAAGAGTGATCCACCCTCCCTCTTCTCCACCCTTAAAGGTATTGGAGCCTGGAACCTGTGGGCTTGGGCACACAGAAATGTCAAAACAGATGTACTTGGTTGTTCAGTAGACTTGTGCTTAGTAGGCTGTCCTTGATACTTCTTTTATGCTTTCATCAAAGACAACACAGACTTCAGTTGATTTATATTCTGAAGGCTTGATATGCAAAATGTGCCTGTGCCTCTGACAGTTTTCTTGGGACAGTATTGCTAACTCTGCATTATCTATTAGCCTCAAGGAAATAAAAAAAAACATAATGTGAACAACTAGTTCAGTATAGTTCTTCACTTCATACTTGCACTGTGTCTTGACATTATTTATAATAAATCCTCTGATGTAAGATGACAGCTGAGAGTCTTACAAATGTAATCTTAGAGTGAAGGGTGTTACATGGCAAATTTTAAACCAAGACTTTGTCTGTGGAACTATTTGAACAAAGTTAGAGCAGTACTAAGTTGATTAATGTTTGTTCTGATAAGAAGGCTTGCTTTAATTTGATAGAAAACCTATTAAGTGTTCATATAGTGCTGTGACTTTTTTGAGATTTGAGATATGTGGACTTGGTTCTGCTTTTTAAAAGACCATTTTCCACATGTAGACAAGGGCTCACCTCCTAGAAGGCTTTCTTTTCTCAGCCTTTTGTTCTACTCTTTGCTCTTCGTGTGCACTGTAGGTAATTATGTGTACATTGTAGGTAAGAATGTTTTGCTAAAAGGAAACAGAGTCAAGAGAGGTTCTCTACTCAACTAGCAATAGTGTCTAGGGAGGGTTACAGCTGGCCCAGTATAATGTAGCTCAGCCTTCTTCACCATGATGTTCTTAACATACAGTGAACAATGCATCAGGGTTCCTCGTCATTACTAGTACATGTTTTGGTTTTGGGGAGTTAAGGTCCAAAACATCTGAAGGGCACACTAGTTTGGGTATGACTGATACCATTCAACGAAAGCAGCTTTGTTTGCAGCAATTAGTTCTTTGATCTTTGATAATTTTACCTAACTTACATTTTGCCTCCTACTGTACCAAGGGCCAGATCTGTGTAATTGGGTGAGTTGACTGTTGAAAAATAAAGTTATATAATTAATCTATAGGTCTTGGGTATGGGGGTAGGAGTGGAATCAGGAGACTGCAAAGGAGTATACTGAATAGCATTAGTTCTCGGGAATACTTTAATGTGTCTGATAATGAATTCACTTCACAATATTTTCAGTTGTTATTTTGGTCATGTTTTGTTGCTTTTGTGTAGGCATGAAACATCTGGTAAAAAAACACGAGCTACCACATCCGGACAGAATTCCTGCTCTAAAACAGAAGCTAGAGAAATGTCATAGTCCAGAACTTGCCCTTAATACAAATACGTAAGTAGCAGTGTAAAGTTACATTCTAAATTCCTCATCCTTTATGGGTATTACTTTAAGCACATTGTAATATTTTTTAATACAGTTGCTCTTTTTAAATCTCTCAATCAATTGTTTTAGTTGTATTGCAAGATGCCTTGATTCCCATATGGGAAAAAAAATAGAACATGAAATGCATAAATAAATAAATAAATCTTTTTCATATGCAAATCTTAATTAATCAGTGCACAACATACCTTTTTGAAGACCAACAGATTTCTGAGTTGGCAGATCCATCCTAGTTTCTTAAGATTCTACAAGATGATTTAGTAAAATATTTAGCAAAAAATACTTGCCAGAATCCTATTTGGCCTGATATATTACATATCCTTGTGTTTACCTAATTATATATCAGAGACACTAAGAAACCCAGTTACTGAATTCCAAAGATGTGTAACAGAATACCAGCAGGAATGCCCGGTGCATATTGGTGCTCAGTGACACCAATGTGATGCACATTGGTCTTTTTGTGCATCATTCTGATATATCAGGCATTAGTGCATATTGGTTATTTTGCCGGTTCTGCTACATTGTAACATAACAGCAGTATTCTGCTGTATATAAACATTACAGAATTCTACATTTCTAATTCCTGCAAACTTAAGTCCATTCCATTTATGAATATGCAGTGCTCTGACCAGCCTTCATTATCAGCTGTTTTAAAGAACTTGTAGTGTTGCATTTTATATTGTAAATACCCTAAAATGCCAGTGAATCTTTATTGGGTGATTGGATTTGTTCTAGTTCCTTTAATATAAAATGTAACTGACGAAAGAAATGGGGTTCTTGAGCAAGAATGTCCTTTCTAACGTTGTATTTTGTGACTTTCGTTAGAAAGAAGAGGAAAGGCTACGAAGATGATGAATATGTTGCAAAGAAATCTAAAATGGAGGAGGTTGGTAGATTTCTATACATTTTTAAAATTGAAAAATATCTCACCTAATTAAAGAAATCTTAGTTGACAAATTGATGGCCTATTTTATCAGAACTGCATAAATTTACATCTAGAATAGTTCTCAAGCAAACAGCAAATTCTTTTCTTTTAGATGATGCTTGGTGTGTCACAGCAGGCAGCGTCTTGGAAGTTGCCTTTCTTCCTTTTTCTTGTTGGGAGTGGAAATGCCAATTAATTGGAGACATCTTCTTAGACAATCAAAATATTTTCCCGAAAATATAACTTACAATAAATACTAAGACAGGTTGGCTTTCTTTGTTTCACAAGCTTATGCACACTTTTAAAATAATCAGATCACTCTGTTTAGGTAGCAAATTAAGGTTTAGCATGATTTGTGGAAGTTACTGCTTGAGTTACTTAAAGATATTCATTTTATGTCCTGAAAGAAATTATCTCTTCCTTTTTTTCCTCTAAAAAAGGAATTGCCCCAAACAGCTTAGAAATGCACTCAAGTAACTAGAAGATCTTTAACAAGACAAAAGCAGCAACAAAAACACAAAGAACGAATGCTAACCAATACGTGTTTAAAAAATAGGATTTGTCTACTTTTAAATCTTGTAAATGTATACATCATCAGCTCATTTTTTCCTCTTTACTTCTTTCCCCTTTTAGCATAAACATTCTTTTAATATTTCTGTCCTTCTTTAAAGTCTCAGCAATAGAAATATTTTAATTTTCTGGCATAGTTACATGGGGAAAAAGTAGAAGTTGATCTTTTAAAAATAATAATGTACAGTTTGAATCCCATGAAATATAAAATTGCACTTCTGCACTTCTTAAGAGTCCTATCACACACATTTAGGTTATGGACGGTATATGCCAAAAGCTGTAAAATGTTGAAAGACCTGGACAAAGCAAATCACAGACTCTAGCATCTCTACTGAGATGCGGTTAGTATATCCACATCAAATCTCTGCAAGATAAAGATGAATGATAATATTGTTTCATGTTAGCTTGAAGCAGTTTTTTGTGTTCTCAAATGTACATCTTTCCAGTTCAAGCTCAAACTGATCTCTTTTAGGTGGAAAATGTTTACAGTAGAACTTGAAACATTAAATGTGAAGACAGTTAATGAAGTTTTGCTTTAAGACATTTTCTGCTTCAGATGGCTGTCTTTTTGTTTCCCATCTGTGACTTTGGCTCACTGAGATATTTCTGCACAGCTAAATTACTTATTCACCCAGGTCCAGACCTGCTATTTATTCAGGGAATCAGTTTGCTTAACATTTGGTCTCGGTGATTTTCATTATATTAATAATTTTAAGCTTTGCATGATGTGTACTGTCTGAGCCTAAATAACTGCTGAAGACAGAACACTAACATTGTCTTGTCGAAGGCTTTAATGGCCGGAATCACTATATTTCCAATGCCCTTTCCCATCTTTCCTGTAATCTGCATACTGGAATATTTCAGTTGTCTCTGAAAGACATACATTCCTACTTTCCCATTTTGGATCATCAATGGGAAAGTAGGAATTGGTGTTAGCCTAGTCACAGCTATGAATTGGGTATCTCTGGGACTTTTTCAGCTAGAACAGCAGTCTATGTATTATGTATGCACAACCTATTTATACTATATTCCAAGTTGAGCAACTGGAAACCTTTCCAGGGTAATTCAAACTGAACTGAAACCAGAATGACAGATTTGGTGCCTGTCTGGTTTCTTTTACAACAGAAGATTAAATTCTTGTTTCTCTTTTTAGGATGAATGGACAGATGATGACTTGATTGACTGACTATCCACAGAGATGTAATCCTGAATATTTAACAGACTCTGGAGTCAGGGGAAAAGTTGCACAGCTCTCTGCTTGCAGAGAAATAAAATACCACTAATGTAAAAAAAAATGTTTTACAAAATAACTGGAATACTTCAATGTACTTAAATACCATTTCTATAAGGAGCAGCACAACTGCTTAAATTCCAGAACTTTTCATTTTTAATTGGGAAACATTTCATTCCTTAGAGTAACCACATTAGGCTTCTTGATAAGAGTGCCAACTGGAAAGGCTAGTAAAGCAGTAAGTGTTACATTGTCTAGACTAGGACTTCTTTAAACCCCTTTCTGAGAAATCTTTACACAACTCTGGATATATAGGTAATATAAAATTGATATAAAAATATTGATAATAAATCAGAATTTGTCAGGCTTGGTAAAGAGGTTGATTTTCCTTTTTATGAAGTTCAGATGAAGCATTTTTTACAGAGTCCACTGTAAACATTACACGTTGCTAATGGATTTTTGTAATTATCTAGATGACATTCAGAAATGTTTTACTGTTGCCATTTTTTTCATGACTTCAATATTTGAGCTAAGGGGTCCCCATTTGGGATCAGGACCCATAATTTAAGCAGTAGTCTAGACCAAGACATTTTTGCAAATCTCTTAGCAATGCAGCAGAGGCTGCAGTAAATCCTACTGCATGTAGATTCCCCCATTAATGGCCAAGATGAAAGGGAACATCAGGGTTAGAAAAGGATAAATTTCCCACCTAAGAGACCAAGTGGGAAAAGATGGAAGTGTGGCCTTGAATTCCCCAGAATATCATTCCTGATCATTAAACCAACCTTAGTTTGAAAAGGGATTTTTGTTGCTGTTGTGAATGCTCCAACTCTGCTAATGCTCAGGATCACCAAGAGCCAGCCTAAATAGGCAGGGCCAAGAATGAAAAGATTTATTTTCCTTCTCACTTTGGCAGTAGTACATTCCTTTTGCCTTGTCTTGCACAAGAGAGTGAAGCTTTCATTTGGGGTCCAGTCTGCCATTGACAAAGAAATACACTCAACAGTCAGGCTCAACAGTCAACTGGCTAGGAGGTGCCTTGGCTAAGAGATGGACAGAAAACAGATAAATGCCTGTTTCGGATGCATCAGCTCCTGCCTCCATACACAATGGTCAGAGATAAAAAGCTGAGTGAAATCATTTGGCTTTCCTTCTTTCCATTCCTGCTCTAATAAAATTATCCATGATGCAGGATATTTGTGACAGTTGTAGTGAAATCTTCAGTTGACACATACACTTTCAAGTTTGCTTGTGTGGAGGCACCTTAGAGGCAGTGAAAATTGCTTCTTTTTTATTCCAGGGTGCTGTATCTAGCACCAAGCAGCTCCTTAGACTGGGGGAAGGAAAGTTTGGAATTCCAGACATTGGATTGCAACTTCCACCGTCCCTATGCCAATGGTGAAGAATGATGACACTTGCAACTAATAGGTGAAAATCCGCAAGAATAGTGGAAATATACATATGCTCAAAGTAAGATAAAATAAGAGCTGTAGATAAACATTGTTGAGATTTAACACTGAAAATACGCATATTTGAGCAATGGATACCAAATAGGATATATATTGGGGTGATAATATGTGTGCCTTGTTTCAGCAAACATTTTCAAGTTAAACTACTGTAAAACAAATATGCAGCTTGTTTTTCTTTTCTCTTTTTTAAAAATTCTTTTTCTATGATATTTTATGATATATTTTAACAGAAAATCGCAATAAAGAATATCTAAAAACAAATATGCAGCTTTAAAATTTAGATTTCTCACAATCAAACATTTCTGCATTATGTTATGAGATAAATATGGACAGAACCATCACTATGTCAATAGGATGGGGCATTTTTTGGCATGCAGCCAGAGAACAGTTGGCTTTTTCAGCTAGCCAAATGAATCAAAATACTATTATATTTATAATCATATAGCTAGTAAATTGAACTTTCAACCTGGTTAGATGTTCTTGCAAGTTGGGGAAGAATGCCCCATGAAAAAAAAAGCCCCATGAATTTAGAAGGGGCACTAAAGGGAGAACTTTGTTTCAAATCTTTGCTTATGAAAGATATCTGAGATGGTAAGTGTTCTAGTATGAAAATAACAGGTTTCCTGTCGTAGTCAACTGCGAAATCGCACTTATGGTATTCCTGCGCCTGCACAGGCCCAGCTTTCGGAACCTTCTAGACTTAAAAAGAAACATTTTGCTCCCCAGTCCCGCCCCCCCCCCCGAGTATATAAGGTCCGTGGGCGGGACCAACCGTCAATTCTCTTTTTTCCGCCGATAGAGTAGGCATCAGCATAGTGAACCTTGATTATATTTGGCTATAATTGACTCGGACTGTTTTTGACAATGCTTTCCAATCTCTGGCTCCCGCGACTCGGACTGATCGACGACTCTTTGGCTAAGCTGGCACGCGTTTCGGCTGAGATGGCGACCACTTCTTTTAAGAAGTGCAGTAAATGCCCCAACGTTCTGCCGGACACGGATGGGCATGATCTATGTCTTGCTTGCTTGGGAGAAGCCCATCTCTCCCAAGCCTGTGCAATTTGCGTGGCCTTCACCCCGCAAACGCGGAGGAACCACGAAACGCGTCTGAAGGCGGCCCTTTACGAAAGGGCCCTGATGCCCCTTCCGTCCCCGAGACCACCAACGGGGCCGGAAGCATCCTTACCTTCTGAGGCTGCCGCGAAGAAGAAGGCCAAAAAGCCTAAGGAGAAGGCGCTGGAGAGCCGCGCCGAGCCCCAGGGCCGCAGTGCCTCCAAGAAAGCGGGAAAATCCCCATCGGAGGCCCAGCAGCGCCCCACGCAGGCGCAACCTACGGCCAGCCTTCTCTTCCCGCCGTGAAGATTAGCGCCTCCCCGTGAAACGGGTGCGAAGAACGCGCAACCTCGAGCCTCCCCGGCCTCGGCTGAGGCTCTCGTGACGCCCTCGACGTCGAGCCTGCCTTCTCCTCCCCCAACCATCCGAACGGCGCCCGAGGTCGAGGCTGCAGTGAGAGGGGCGGGAGTGGGCGCCTCGGCTGGCTCCGCCCTTGCCGATCTGGCCCCGCCCAAAACAGGAGGAGTGACTCCTGGGGAAGGAGGAGCCGCGGACGCGCAACAAGAAGCGGCCCCCGATGCCGATGAATGGGGCAGGCTGCTCGATACCGCTAGGCCTCTGAGTTCAGCGAGCCCGAGGGAAGGCCTCCTGCCCCTCCCGAACCCGACTCCTCCGTCGACCTCGCCCAGGAGGGAAGAGCGTCGCCGCAGACCTCGTAGGTCTAGGTCTCCCTCCAGGCGGAGCAGATCGCCCTCCAGACGGAGCAGAGCATCCAGCCGCCGGTACCGACGGGGTTCGAGGGGCCGATCCAGACGATCCTCATCATCATCATCGTCTTCCTCATCATCTTCGCCCTCCCCCTCATCCAAATCAGCCAGGAGGGCACGTCGGGCCCACAGATCTTGCTCCTTGTCATCCCAGCGGCCCCAGTTTGCACCGAGCCCTTATCCATACCCGGGCTTCTGGCAAATGGCTCCATCAGGGCAAATGTTCCAACATACACCTCCCTTTGCGCCCATACTGCGCATGGAGGCCATCCCTGGCATTCCTCAAAGAGGCTTGGGCACATCAACGACTGTGTTTGCTGCCCCGGCCTTGATGCCGCCACCAGCAACGACTCTAACTGCCAGGGCACAGGAAACTCGCACCCCGAAAGAGCCCTCGGGGCAAATCAGGAACTATGTGTTGGACAGAATGTGGGGACTGAGCGACCTGTTTGTATGAATCAATCTTTGTATGTTGACCCTTCTGATTCTGTTGACATTACTAATGGTGTTACCACGCCCATACCAACTGCCTCTTATCAACCAATGGCACCCATAGGGGACCCTGAACACCCTGGCCCCCACACGGAGCAGAGGGCCACAGAACCGGAGGAATCGAACTCCGATTCAGATGCTCCTGACCAATCGGTGGTCCCCAGCGCCTCCGAGCCGGGCCCCTTACCACCTGACTTCAACAAATTTGCCTGTCTTGTAGAACGGGCAGGATTACGAGCACGCTACCATCTCCAGCACTCCTGCAAGAGATAAATACGCTCTTACAAAAAGGGGCCATTTCGCCTGTTGCGCCGTCTATGTTCCCGCACTGTTTTTCTCAAGTTATTTTGTAGTTGAGAAACGCGGAGGAGGTTTTCGGGCTATTATGGATTTAAGAAACCTGAATAAATGTATCATTCCAAAGAAATTTCGAATGGTCACTTTGGCTTCTATCTTACCCCTGTTAACGAAAGATGTGTGGTTCGCCACCATTGACCTCAGGGACGCATACTTTCATTTCTCAATATCACCACACCACAGAAGGTTTTTGACATTCATGGTGGGTACGAGGGCCTTCCATTACAATGTACTCCCATTCGTATTGAGTACGGTCCCTAGGGTTTTCACCAAATGCATAGCAGTGGTAGTAGCCCATCTACGCACTCAGGGCATTATAGTGTACCCCTATATAGACGATTGGCTGATTGTTTCCCAATCACACAACCAACTGCGTCACCATATCTCTGTTATTCTGTCTTTTACAGTCTTTAGGATTGATTGTCAACATGGAGAAGTCGTCCCTAACGCCGTCTCGTCAGATCCAATTTATTGGAGCCCTGCTGGACTCTCGTACGCAGAGGGCTTACCTACCTGGCGACCGGGCTTCCAACCTACGAGAGCTTATCAGGTTATTTCTGGGGTCCCCTGCAGTGTCGGCCAGGCAAGTCCAGATTCTGTTAGGCCACATGGCCTCTACCACGTCAGTAATCCCGTTTGAGACTCCGGATGCGCCCTCTACAAGCATGGTTTGGTTCAGTTTTCAACCCCCTCAGGGACAACCAGAATACCAGGTTGTCTCCTCCGGAATATGTCCGGAGCTCCCTGGGATGGTGGACGCGACCCGAGTGGGTCTGCATGGGACTTCCTTTTCAACCCCCTTCTCCTACACTAACCATCACAACAGACTCCTCCCTCTCGGGTTGGGGTGCCCATGCACAGGGAGTTGTTGCTCAGGGAAGGTGGTCTCCAGACGAAAGCACACTGCACATAAACGTCTTAGAGCTCATGGCAGTAGAAAAGGCTCTAAAATCCTTCGAGGGCATGGTAAGAGGCACGGTAGTACAAATTCTGACGGACAACACAACCGTCATGTACTACCTAAACAAACAAGGCGGCACACACTCACCCCAGCTTCTGCAACTCACGATCAATATCTGGGAGTGGTGTATCCAGAGGGGGACTTTCCTGCGGGCCTCACATGTCCCGGGGGAACAGAACTCCCTAGCAGACGCTCTGAGCAGGAGCCCTATGGGGCATCACGAGTGGTCTCTGGACCTGGAAGAATTAGGGAAGGTCTTCCAGGTGTGGGGTTACC